CACCACAGGCGAGGAGGGGAACGGGTTTTTCAAAGGGTTGGGATAGTTTGACATACTGCAGTGTGAAAGTGAACCGCACCAGCTGAAAATGCAACAATGTTGCAGTATTGGTCCCCAATAAATCCCCATTAGTCTTATCCAACTACAGAAAATACATTGTAGAAAAAATATTAAAACGTTAATGCTGGAACAATAAAGCAGCATACAAGATTTTAAATCCAAGAACTTATTTTTTTGTATCTATAATACGAGAGGCTGGAGAGCGGTGTATTATTAGCAATGTTGCCTTGCACCAAGAAAACCTTGGGTTTGAATCCTGGCCTGGGGGTTTTTCTGCATGGAGTTTGGATGTTCTTCCTGTGCATACGTGGGTTCCCTCTGAGTACTCTGGCCTCACAGTCCAAAAATACAGCTGTTGGGTTAATTGGCATCTCAAAACTGCTCTTATGAGTGAGTGTGTGTGCGGTTGTTAGTCCTGTGTCTGTGTTGCCTCACATGGGCTAACAACTTATCCAGAATGTGACATGCCTCTCGCATAATGACAGGCAGCAGCAGGCCTGCATGTACAGTATGGGCGGGTACAGACAAGGGATGTTGTGTGTTCAGAAAGCAAAATGAGCAGGAAGATTCAAGAGACCAAAACTGATTACACTGGCTGGCAGCAGCTTCTTGCAAATAATTACTATCAAAATCTGAGTTTGGAGCTTAAAATCATGGGTAAAAATACATATAAAAACTCCTAGCCACTTATAGATTGATGACAATGACTTGTTAGTTTGTTTTTTGTTTCTTTGTATTTTGAAAAGTTGATTGCTTGAGACTGCAACTTTTGGAATAACACACACTCACTACGTTTTCTCAGTAGATAGTTAAGGATACAGAAACATATCCTTCACAGATGATCTCATTTCCAACAGAACCTCTACTGGGTACAGTTTATTAATCTTTATTTTAGGCCTTGTGGCAGTTTTACTGAAAGTTTCCTGACTGTTTTTCACATCATAAAATACTCTGCAGCAGAGGGGAACACAAAGAGGCCCAGACCAGCTATCTACAGGTGACAGATCTACAGCCAGTAACTACTTCTGCTCTCCATTTTTAAATGCAGGAAATGCATTAAACTTAAAGCCACAATAAAAAGATAAAACAGTAGAACCTGAAGTGAAGTATCAAGGTCAGTACGGAAGCTTAATAGTAGCCTGCTTTTTCTGATGTTTGTTTGGGATCTTTGCATTGCTGGATCTGTACCAGGGTTTCCCCCCAGTGTATTATAAGCCTGGCGGGCCACCAGGCTTTACTTGTGCCCCCACCAGGCTTAGCATTGCTTATTTATTCAAGTCTTTTTAAAATATTTGCATTTTTTAAGACTTTGTAGTTGGTGTTCAGGTATTAATTTTCCAGTCTTTCAATAACACATAATTATCAAGTGATATTTTCAAATTTCCTGTCAACTTTAAACATTTTTCAACTCAAAAACATGACAGGCTGCTGGATGAATGACTGCCAAGCGCTCCAACCACTAGACTTAGCAAGTTTTCTGGGGGAAACCTTGTTGTATCAAAGTTTCTGACCCAAATTGTCTTCAAGAGTAGCCTGCAATCCATCAAGGCTAAATTTGATCATAAACTGGTGGAAACAGCACTATCCTGAAGGTGTGTTTCGTATTGCTTCTAACCAAGGTCTGCAACAGGAAACCAATCAATTCAAAAAGTGCATCTCATCTTCTCTTCTCTTTTCTGATGAGAAGATAAGATGGAAGCATTTTGTGGCTAAGCAGCATGTGGCTGAGGTGGAACCTGCATGAATTTGGTGAATTTATATATTTGAGCCAGCATGTATAATTCTGACCTGATAAAGATTATATGTTTCCATGTTAGAAATGATCATTATTACACCCCAAATTACTATCACACACAAAAATAATATACGCTTGCATTCTTCTGATGAGAACTGCAAATATGTTTTTATTTACATACAATTACAAAAAGTTTTTGCATTGTTAAAGCCGCACACTCTGGCTACATTCGGCACTACAAAATTTCCACAGGTGCAGATTAGAAAGCTGGTGGTTATATGTTGCACTTGTGGTTGTAAAAGTGTAAGAACAAGCGCAACATCTGGGCTGGTGGTGCCAGTGCTGTTTGAGAGAGCGCGGCATCGCATTTTAAGACTGATAAGAAGATAAAACAAAAGGAAGACGTCTGAGAGGGTGACGATAGAGAATGTGGGCCTTTCTGACGAACTGTCACATTATAGCCATAAACTTTAATTAATATTATGCATTTTATTTGGACGTCTCCAACAAAGCAGTGCACAGCTATAAAGTAGGAAGGAAAATGCTTCATGGTTTGGGAAAATCTTGTGCAAATTAAAATCTTAAAAGTGTGGAATGGATATGAATTCACCCTCCTGAGTACATACATTGTTTGGAGCAGTTTTCTGCAGCTCCTCCAGAGAAACCATGAGGCCTTTTGGATGCTTCTCTGATTAATGCGCTCTCAGTTAAGGTGGGTACTATCTCCATTTTCAGATGACGGACTGAACTGTTCACTGTGAGATGTTTAATGCCTGGATGTTGTTTTTTTATTGATTGATTGATTGAACCTAAACCTGCTTTTAGCTTCTCCAAAACACTCCAACCAGTCTGCTCTACTCCTTAGTGTTTATGATGTTGTTTGTTTACCAATATTTTTAAACAAACCTCTGAGCCCTTCACAGAACAAGAACTGAAACTTAATCGTGATTAATCGATTATTTCAATTATCTTCGACTAGCTTAGTAATCAATTACTTGCTAACAAGAATATACAGACTTAATACAGGCAATTTTCTGAAAGAATAACAAACTCAGAGGAGTACTTACATGAAAACTATGCAAAAAATCTAAAATTTTTTAGTAAAAGAAAAAACCTTCTTTGTTGCTCTACCCTCCTACTCCTCAAGTGGAATAGTTTTAGCTTCACCTGCATCAAATTCTGTAGAAAAAAATCTCAAACTAAGTACCGTTAGCTATCATTTATTGATTGGTTAATCCATAAAAATGATCAACAAATGAACCCTACACTCTATTGGTGCTATGTCAAGCAACAAGAGCTGAGCTTTTCAAATGTTTATGTAAAAAAAACATTTTTTAGCTGCAAATTCATCTCTTGCTACAAATGATCAAGTGTACCTGAAGGTCTGCTGTTATTAGTAATTTTCTCATTTTAAAAAAAGTGATTAAATTATTTATTTGCTTATTTTAATAAATTTCCAGTGTTGTATGAAATAAGTTTAAGTGACTAAATGAAAATTTGCAGAATGCACTAATTTATTATCAAATTAATTGATTAATTGTCCAAACAAATCAGAAGAATAATCAATTACTATAATAGTTAGTTGCAGCCATAACTCAGAGCTAGTTTGCTGTATACACCAATTCTTTATCATTTGTGAAGTATTATCCCCTTGCTCAGTTTTACATAGTCTACTAACAGCTATGAGATTTCTTAAAATTGGATGGAAGGAAAGGGAAGCCATTGCAGCTGATTGATGTGGCAGTTTTTTCAAAAAATATGTGTACATTGTGTACCTGGGGGTACTTTCCATTGCTTAACACAATGCATCAAGCTACAATGCATATAAAGCAGGCCCTGTTATATTTTTGTTTTGTTGCAAACCAAGATGTTCCTTTGAGTTATGGTGGCCCAGAGGTCCAACAGAGCACAATTACAAATTCAAAAACACAACAACATTAACAAAGCACTTCAACATTAACAAAACGGAAAACATGTATCCAATATATATTATTCAGTATTAATCATTATTTATTTGTGTCATTATTAATCATTTGTGTTATGACCGATTAAATGCGCTGATACGTCATTGTGCCTGCTAAACACATAACGCTGAGTGGAGTGGTGGACCGCTCCAAGATGGCCGCCCTAAATCTCGTCAGCGACAATAGGCGAAAGCGGTTCATAAGGCGTCTATTCTTATATTATGTCTTTGCATTATAGGGTCCGCCATATTGAAAGTGGCTTATCTGCCAGCAAGCTAATACAAGTAAATGGACCGAACTTCGTAAAGTGCCTTTCTGCAACGTAATTTAAGTTAATGAATGTCACTGACACAATTTCTCACACACTATTATATATAGGAATGAAAAAGAAAACTCTAAGGACAACTTTTCTAACTTTTTGATGTGCTTATTTAATTGTTTTGGGGCACAATAATTACATTTGATATAGCTGATTCTGATAAATCGTTTTTATTGATGAACACACAAGAAACAACTGACGAACCTTAAAGTAATCATGTTTGACCACAGACAAACTTCTAGGTAACCATGGCAACAATAAACAAACAGCAAAAGCGCCCGTTACAGGTTTCTCATTGTCTCTCCCTCTTTAGAAAAACTACACAGTATTAAAAAAAAGTTAGCTAAGCTAAGAAAATAATCAGAGTAGTGAACTGGGCCAATTTAGTAACAAAGGAAATATTTCTTGGTTGTTTAGAAGTTTGTTTCACCACGGAAATGGTGGTGAAACAACCATTTCACCACTTTGTTTCTTGGCAACAAAGTCACGAAATTCTGCTCGTAAATTTACGTTGTTATTATTATCTTTAATTCTTACCTGTGAAAGGTAGAGGCAGTGGATCCACTTTGTACTGTAAAACCGTTTAAACTAGTTCACGCAGCACGTTCTCTCCACTGCCACTTTCAAGATGGCGGTGACGTAAGTAGGGCTCAACGTAAACATATTCATGCTAATTGTCCAATCAGCGATTTTTCAGGTTTCCAACTGGGACATACCCTTTCCGTTTTGTTAATGTAGTGCTTCGTTAATGTTGTTGTGTTTTTGAATTCGTAAATGTGCTTTGCTAATGTTGTTTTTTAATTTGTTGAAGTGGTTTGCATCTCAAGGCTGGTGTGTGGTCATGCAAACCTGTAGCATTTATGCCACACACACACACACACACACACACACACTCACACTAAAGTTATGTATCTGCACATACCCAGTCTTCGTAGTGCCTGGTTCCGTTCTGCAGCAGGTCCTCCAGCTGGATGGTGCAGTTGGCCACGAAGTCGTCATACCCGATGGGAGCATCGTGGAACACCGACAGCTCCAGTTTGCGTCCCTCTCGGACCTCGGTGCAGAACTCCTGGTGCCAGGCCGGATTGTTGGTCTTGGTTCTTGTGGCGGTCTGGCCCAGGCGGGTCTCGTCCAGGTTCAAGGTCAGGTAGGGGTCCAACAGGAAAGAGCCGCTCTTCCCCACGGCGTGACGCAATGCCCACGCGGTGGGCTTCAGATCCGCTGCTTCAACCACCCGAACCTTCAGCAGGCCATTAAAGACGGGCATGGCTGCGGGCTGATTAGGTGTGTGTTAACAGAATGGATAGCAGTGTGTGTGTGCGCGCGCGCGCGCGTGCGTGCTTGTCTGTGTCTGTCTGTGTGTTTGGGTCTGGTTGTTCCCGCTCCCGCACACGGAATGTTTCCTTCCAATGAGCGGGGTCACTGCACAGTCCTGCTACATCCCATAATGCCGCTGGTTCCTTCACTCTAACACAGCCATGTCAGAACACCGAGATACCCGCAATAACGGAGCACCAGGGGGCTGAAAACACGCAGTTATTACCGCACACTCACTCCCCTCCGAGGCTGCCTGATGAAGACTCTCCCACCCCAAGCGGTTGTTTGTTTATGTTCGATCCCAAAATTCCCGTTTCCGCGGAAACAGGCCGGGGTTTAACGGCTGGGAACGGAGGAAACGCGGTGTAACTGTCCTCACGCTGAGCTCCGCGGCAGTCCTGCGAGTGTCTCCGCCGGGTCACGGTGGGAGAGAGCGGGGGCAGCCGCGCCTAGCCATCCGGGATTGCTGCTCCGCTTCCAGCCCCGCCGCGGCTCGCTCGCTCGCTCGGTCCTCCTCTGGGGTAATCTCCAGGCTTCAATCTCCCACCACAGCGGGTGTTTGCGCTTAGTCTGTCAAAAAGAGTGTGTTTTAATCCGCTCTATGCGGCGGTTTTTCGGGTTCGGGAGCACCCCAGACACATCACGGAGCTCCGCTCCCGATCCGTTTTTTTCCTCCCTTCAGTCCCTGCGCGCGACCCTCGCTTCCCGTCCCCTCTCTCCCCCCTCCAATCCGCCAGTGAGCGGGTATGGCAAGCTAACTTACCATATAATGTGTTGAAAAAATGTAGTGCAGGTTAAAGCCGCTGTATTGCAACTTTAAAAAATATGTATGTTTTTTTTACATATTTGTTAAAATTATCACTATGTTGTCACAGAAAGGTATGAGAGAGATTATCTGTGGATAAATGTAGCTCTTCTGCCTTCTCTCAGTTCTCCCAGTGCTAACTAGAAACAACCAATCAGAGAAAGGAGGCAGGGTTTTAGCAGTGTCAATCACCAATCCTTGTGGCACTGCTCATCCCTCTCTTCTCCCTCTTGCTCTCTGCTATGCTGCAGCTAGCACAGCCTATTATTAACGCTCATACTAGTTAGCACTGGCACCGTTAATGACAGATATACAGTTTTCCTGTAACGTTAAGTTGTTGTAAGTTGGTATTGGTATACCAGCCCTTTTACTTAGTATTGGATTTACTCTACACTTCTGTACCATTTGACAATAAGTTTGTATTGTACCGAAATGAACTGGACTGATAAGAAGCCTTTCTGACATCCAAAATCTTCTCTTTTGATCAAAATGAATTGAATTATAATATCTGTGACATGTTTTACAAGTAGTGATGCAATTTTGATAAAAGACATTAAATCATTGACTCAATCCTGACGTTTTGGCACCAAAGAATGCTGGTATTGGTTTCTCCATCAACTCCTTTTAGTTATCTTTCAACAATTTTCTTTTATTAATTGCACAGTATTTTTTTACTTAAATTGTAAACTTACCCTTACTGTACAGTTTATTCTGTTTTTATCTTTCTTGTCTTAGTTTGAATATTCATACTTCTATTTAACTTGCTGCTGCTGCTGCTGCTGCACCCGAATTTCCCCATTGTGGAACAATAATTGTAAAAAAAAAAACATGGAGTTAGGATTCAGCTTGAATAAATGTTACACTGGCTTGCCATACAAGAGATGCAGGAAATGCGCAAAACGCGTCACACGCGCTGCCGGACGCTTGCTAACTCCTTGTGTGTGCGTGCGAGTTAGCGCGCGCGTGTGCGTGTTGATTTGGAAGAGGCGTACAGAGGGAGTGGAATTCACCCGCAGGCGTCGAGCGCGTGTGTGGACCCGCGCGTGCGTTTGTGTGAGGGCGCGTGCCATTACCAGACAGCCAGTCAATCAGTCTGTCCTTATGCATGGTCACACACACACACATGCACGGGAGCGCGCGCGCATACACACACACAGAAGAAACACGTCAGAGCACTAACAAGTCTATCTATCTATCTATCTATCTATCTATCTATCTATCTATCTATCTATCTATCTATCTATCTATCTATCTATCTATCTATCTATCTATCTAGTGAAGTAGGATTTGTCCCTTAAATGTTGTCTTTTTTTAACTTAAATGTGCCAGATTATCAAATATTTCTTAATAGCAGATACAGAGTAACTTATTTCATTTGTACCTGAAAAATTAATGCAAGCTAACTGACTATGTGGAGAGTATCAAATATTAGTGTAATACACATTCTGTGTAATGTATATTTCTATAGCACGCCAACTTTGAATTTTAATAATTTTAAGTTGTCAACTCTTAAAACCGCTTATTTCCCGTTCCCTGTGCTTTACTGCGTTAACTACATTGGGCTGGATGACCTAATTCATTAATTCACACCAGTTATACTCTAATGTTTAAGGCCCATCGAATTAAAAATACTGCGTGTTGTGCGTGACCATGCATATGCCTTAGTTCAATAAAATACTCTATGTTTATAGCAGTCTGTATACAAAAGTATTTAATAAAATGTCTATATTTCTTAAACTTAAACCAATTAAATGTACAGTAAGACATTGTTAGTGTATTCTTTTTGGTATGCAAAGTTTGAACATGATGAGGCGCATTTTAGATTTGTTATAAATGCATAATTATATTATTATGACACCTTAACAGAGAATTAAAAGCAAAAATAAACTAAGCTAATCTGAGAAATTCACATCTTACCCATGTCTCCTAAAATACATAAAATAGCATCTGTAAAATATTCATGTTTATGTTCTTATCAGGTTTCTAAGCGTGTCAGTAATTTGTTTATTTTAGTTCGTTATTAAATCAGTATATAATTTGAAACTACGGGTCTGATAAAAATCACAATTTATTCCCTCAAAACATCAATCCTCACTCTAATGCCCGGTCACCTGCGCCACCTGCTGGGTGCAAGGTTGTATTGCAGCCAGGGTGACGCAAACGTTCTGTGACGTCAACAAATGCTGAGTTCAAGTGCTCCTCGGAAATTAAGATGAAATCCAGTCGTTTATTCAGCACTGCGTGATTTCTTTTTAAATCTCACCTTTTGGTGAGAAATACAATAAAGTAAAAAATAGAAAGTAATTATAAGTATTAATAATAATAGCAATTATTACTGTAGTTGTTAATATCATTATTACTAAGTGCCGTTAATCAAAGCGCTGTACTAAAAAAGTACAAATCAGAGAAAACTCAAATTTAAATTAAAAAAATTATAACCCAGTGTGAAGTACATTTTGTGTAACAAAGAAGCTCGGTATTTTCCCCTACCACTGGGTGGCGCTACAGTGTGTTCTTACAGGATTTTTTAAAATAGATTAGAAATATAAATATTTAAAAAACACACAAAACAGTAACAACTTAGTTCTATCTTCTTATGTGGCCCACAAATATAAATACACTTAATAATAATAATAAAAAAATATGAATATAGTCCTTTTTTTTGCTTCTCTTTAGACGGTCAAAATGGAACATTTTTTTTATTATTTGCTGGTAATTTAACTATCACAAAACATAGACAACAAAAGTTGTGGAATATTTTCCATTTTTCAAGGTAAATGCCATATAACTTTTAAATATTTCAGAATTATTAATTGATTATGTGTTTTATGCTGTTTTTGTCTTTTCATGTTAAAACTAAAAAATTATTCAATAAAATCACACACTTAAAATTTAGAAAACCCACAACTGCATGAGTTTCTTTTGTTTCTCCTCAATGATTTTATAAAAATATTATAAATTATCATGTTGTTGTGCATCATTAAATACTTCATCTGCATTTTCAGTTTTGAATAAACAAATATTTGCACTTGTGTATTAAGCAGGGAAAATAATAAATAAAAACAATTACAATAATTAACTGAGAGATTCATTTTGATTGTTTAATACTATTTTAAATGTAGTAGATTTCAGGTTCATATTCTGAGTATTTCTGTTTGTTTTTTACTTTGAAAAAATAGTTGAACCTTGAAAATGTTAAAATATGCTCATTTAAAAATGATCTTTGCTTTTCAACAAATAAACAGTTTTCATTAAAAAAAAAAAGAACATTAGACATTTTTTCACATAACAAATGAATTCAAATGATCTTTTAAAATTAAATAATTTTAATATAAAATACTAAAAACATTTTGTCAGCATCAAATTGAACATGGAGTAGGCCGCGGCATGGCTTCACACAAACTGCACAGAGAACCTGAAACAGAGCTGAGGTAAAGAGGAAAACCAGCATTATGACTAAAAATACAAACAGGCAGACAAAGAGGTAGGATTTAGTTAGTAGTTGATTGTACAGCAGTCGGTCCAGGTTGTCTCTAAAAACTAGTTTCATTCAGGAAAACGACACCAAATGAGGTTTCAGTCCGAAAAGTTCCAGCCGCTGCAGACGGAGACCAGTGGGGGGTTTTCTGCTCAGTGCTGCTCTAATTTGGATTGTCAGATGAACCCATTATCACTGGATGTGGCTGGAACAGAAAGTGGTCAAAGGTCACGAGCTCTTTCCCTGGAAACAAACCATCAGCCAGAAAACAGAGGAAGCAGAAAATTGTTAACGCAACCTGTGCTTCTACTGGTCAGGCTAGGATAAAGTGATCGCAATGCAGCGACTTCTAAAAGTATTCAGACCCCTCCAAAATACAACCACAAACCTTTAATGTGTTTTACTCAGAGCGTATTTGTATAGCAAGAAACATTTTTAAATGGCTTGCAATTTTCTTACAAATGACTTGAACAAAAGTGTTCAGCTTAAAGCTCACATTACAAATCGTCTTGAAAATATTATTATCCCCTTAGTGTGAAGATAAGAGGTAGCATCATGCTGTGGGGTGTGCTCCATCTACGGATGCTGGTCAGAGTTGGTGAGAAGATAGATGAAGGTAAAAATAGAGAAAATCTGTTAGAGGCCGTGAAAAAAAAAAGAAAAAATATTGACCAAAAGTTTCAGACATCCAAGTCTGAGTCACTGTCCGTCACTGAGAGGAAAGTTTCCCCGTCTACCCGCTCCGCGCTGCCGTCTGGACTGCAGTCTCCTCCGCTCGGTGGACGGGAACCATCTGTGCAGATGCGGTGATGCTGCAACCTGACGAGAAAAACAACAACAACAACAAAAAACATATCAAAGAGAGATTAATGAGAAAATAAAATGTAACTGGATAAAACTCACAGAGTTTAAATATTTATGCATATTATAAATGAAGTATAGTAACAGAAAATAACCTTTGCAGTAATGAGTGCAGCTTTTGCTCCATAAACTCGATAACTCTCATCCAGCTAAAACAAATCGAACGGATGTGCGTTTTTACGCACGAATAGCGTCTTTACGCACCACCTTGGCCAGTTTGAGTGAAAAATGGTTGACTTCAGTGTCGCAGTGATTTCTGAATGGTTTGCAGATATTTGCGTGACTCATAGTAATAGGATTGTTTATTTAAAGAAATAGAAATAAAGTCACCAACCTGTTTTTAGCCGCCGCCGCGCGATCCCTCTGCCTCCTGTTCTTAAACCAGTTCCCAACCTGGGTCGGCGTCAGTCCGGTGGCGTGAGCCAGTTCCCGTTTCTTCCCCGGGTTCGGGTACGGGTCCTGCAGGTACCACTCTCTCAGCAGCCCGCGGGTGCGCTCCTTGAAGCAGTGCGTCTTCTGCTCTCCGTCCCAGATGGTCCTCGGTAACGGGAACTTCTTCCTGACTCGGTACTTGTCGACGGGCCCCAGCGGTCGGCCCCGCAGCTTCTCCGCCTCGCGGTAGTGAGCCTCCAGCCACATGGCCTGCAGCTTCCCGTGCGAGGTGCGCGTAAAGCGGTGCGTCTCCAGGATGCGGTACAGCTCGCGGAAGCTCCCCGTGTGGAAGGCGACCACGGCGCGCGCCCGCCGCACGGACTCGTGCTCGGAGATGGAGTCGCGGCCGTCGGCGGTGACCGGCAGCGACCAGAGGAAGCGGGCCAGCCGCTCGATGTCCCCGGTCTCCTCCAGGGTTTCGCACACGCTGGCGATCTGCGTGGCGGAGAAGCAGAGTCCCGGGAGGGACAGAGGAGGGGCGGCCGCCGGGGGGTCCTCTGGGGACCGGGAGCGGGACAGGTGAGGCGGCCCGTCGGAAAAGTGGGGCAGGAGGAGCCGGGAGGCTGATAAAAAATCAAGCGGAGACCTGAAAACCATTTTAGTGTGACGCTAAAAAAAAAAAAAGAAAATAAGCAAACGATAAACCCAAGAGGTTTCCTGGAACAGACTGGCGGAAATCTGCTGAAGTGAGACTATTTAGCTCACCTGGGAGCCAGGGACGGACCCTGGATCTGATTTCTGATTGGACGGCCAGAGTTGATGGGGGATCGCCGTCAGTCAAACGCAGAGGATTTATCCCTCTTCTCATGCAAAGGCGGGGCACGACGCCTCTTTAAGGTGAAACGCTCATCTTTTTCTTACGAAAATTCAACAAATTAAAAAAAAAAAAAAAAAAATGGAACCAAAAGTTTCTTTTTCTGCACATCAAAAACACACACAGATAAACGGACACAACAGATGAGAGATGAAACCAACTTAAACACATTTTTAAGTTTATTTTATGCACATGGGTTGCAGCAAATGTGAATAAAAATTCATTTTTTTTAAATTAATGCATTAGATAAAGCCAATAAAAAGGATGTCAAGGAAAGAGACAATCAGTAGCAGTCTAAAGTACCAAACTGCTGTAATACTTAGTTTGTGCATCTTTTTTTT